TCATAGAATCATAGAACCATAGAATCAGCTGGGTTGGAAGGGACCTCTGAGATCATCAAGTCCAACCCTGCCGTGGTTCCCAGGCCATGGCACTGATGCCACATTCAGTCTCATCTTAAAAACCTCCAGGGATGGAGAATCCACGCCCTCCCTGGGCAGCCCATTCCAATGCCTGATTACCCTTTCTGTAAAGAATTTCTTCCTAATATCCAACCTAAACCTCCCCTGGCACAGCTTAAGACCATGCCCTCTTGTCTTACTGATCTCTGCCTGGGAGAGACCAACCCCCACCTGGCTCCCACCTCCTGTCAGGGAGTTGTAGAGACTGATGAGATCTTCCCTGAGCCTCCTCTTCTCCAGGCTCAAAAACCCCAGCTCCCTCAGCCTCTCCTCATAGGACTTGTGCTCAAGTCCCTTCCCCAGCCTCGTTGCCCTTCTCTGGACCTGCTCCAGCCCCTCCATGTCCTTCCTGAACTGAGGGGCCCAGAGCTGGACACAGCACTCCAGGGGTGGCCTCACCAGCGCTGAGTACAAGGGAAGAATCACTTCCCTGGTCCTGCTGTCACACTCTTCCAGGTTCAGGCCAGGATCCATTGGTCCTCTTGGCCACCTGGGTACGCTCTGGCTCATGTTCAGCTTCCTGTCAATCCACACTCCCAGCTCCCTTTCTGCCTGGCTACTCTCCAACCACTCTGTCCCCAGCCCATGGGGCTGCAGGGGGTTGTTGTGGCCAAAGTGCAGGACCCGGCACTTGGTCTGGTTGAACCTCATCCCCTTGGAATCAGTCCAACTCTCCAGCCTGTCAGGTCCCTCTGCAGAGCCCTCCTCCCTTCCAGCTGATCAACACTCCCCCCCAAATTAGTGTCACCTGCAAATTTGCTGATGGTGGACTCAATCCCCTCACCTAAATCATCAATAAAGATATTAAATACAACTGGGCCCAACACTGATCCCTGAGGACACCACTGGTGACCGGATCCCAACTGGATGCAACTCCGTTCCCACCACTCTCTGGGCCCTCCAACCAATTCCTAGCCCAGCACAGAGTGTCCCTGTCCAAGCTATGGGCTACCAGCTTTTTCAGGAGTATGCTGTGGGAGACGGTGTCAAAGGCTTTGCTGAAGTCCAGGTAGACTATATTCACAGCCTTCCCCTCATCCAGATTTTTATAAATGATAAACCAAAAAATAACCATAAAATGTGATGAACCATGTAGTTGTTCCCATCTGTGAATTTCACTCCTCTAGATCCAAGGTGAACTAAACAACATTAAACACAATGCAAAGTGTTGACTAGACTAAAAGTAGTTTTCATTTATAATTTTAAAATTCTTTTCACTTTGAAATTTTTTTCAGTAAATGGATAGTGCACTATGGCAACAAATTTTTGAGAGAGATGAGATGATTTTGTGAGTTGAAAACATGAGTAGGGACCGCTAGAGGTCCTTTATCACTGACACTTCTGCGGTCCTATGGGGTTATTATTCTTTTTCTACTGCAGACTGGTAAATTTGGGGAGCAAAAACCCTCAAAGCATCAAGTGGAAGCTGGCAAAGGAGAAAGGTGAGTTGACGACTGAGGTCAATGACTTGTCCAGTAGCATGAAGTCCACCTTCATAACCAATCACAGGACAAACAGAACCATCACCTCTCTGTAGGTATGAATCTTTTTTTCATCCACAAGTGAAAAAAATTTATGCAATCTTTTCCAAAATTTGAAAGCTGAAGAAAGCGGTTTAAGCACAAGTTGACGGTATTCCATCCCAGTTTAACAAATTCTGTAAAAAGTCTGGAGTTTAACGGGCTCATGAGATGTCAAGAAGATGGAAAAATATTCAGAAAATTCACAGAACATGAAGAGGCAGGGCATAACCAAACTCAGAGCTCTAGAATGGCTTTGGGACCTGATGGTGTTCTCACTGTGGGAAGAATATATGCGAAGTGCTATTTCCTGAACTAGGCAGACAAAACCCAAGCATTATCGAGCTTCTAGCACAGAAAGAAACAGAAGAACAAGTTATCTGTTACAACTTCTTGAATTTGTTGCCTTCCCAGTTGATTCCCATTACTCTAGGAGGTGAAATAAAATACAAGATGCCAAACTGACAGAGAGAATGATATACTGCAAGTGTGATCTTTGAACGGGTGTACTGGCATCCATGTCATACTCTTTAATTAACATGTGCAGAGGACCCAGGAGGGAAACTGAAATGTAAACAATTATTTTGCAGCTGCAACTAGATCCATAAACACAGCAATAACGGTAAAAGTGGATATTGGATGGGAACTTTCTTTCAGCTTATGTGGATTTCAGCTGCTAAGTTTTCAGTTCCCATACAACTTGGAACACATTATGTCAACATTTATGTTTATCAAAAAATTGTAGATCCATCTTGGAGTTAATTTCATGTGATATATAAAGAACAACCAAGTCTATTCTTTGTTAAGCAATTACATAATGCAGTAGAAGAGGAAAGAGGAAAGGAAAATCTCTCTCTCCCTTTATCCTGTTTTGCATGCTAAAGGATGACATTTTCTTCAATGAAAATTCTACAGACACACAATATTACCTTTGAAACAGAAATTATAAACTCTCTACATTTATTTTTCAGAAGGACATTGGCAGCCTCAAAAGAATTCTTGATGTCAGATGTCTCAGTCATACATGCAGTGTTGGAAGCACACAAAAGTTTTTTAGAGCAATGAGTTCAGAAGACTGGTCACTCTCTCTGACTCTTCTTACAGTGCTTCAACTCCCTGATGTTTGAGGGAAAACATGAGTCTTCAGAATATGGTACAGAATCACAGTACCTCACCCAAGCTCCATGGAAGAACTTAGAATAGCAGATCCTATGTACCTCTTTGCAAAGGAAATGAAAATCCTCCCAGGAGTTCTCTACATTTCTGTGGAGTCTGTGTTTGTGCTTCGGAAGGCTGGAGAAGGTGTGTTTGTGATCTAAATCCCATTCTTTCATTTGGTAACTACAGCCGCAGTCCAAGATCTCTACAATAGCAGCAGATTGCCAAGTTAAAGCTCCCGATACACCTAAAGGCTGAATTATATAAAATGCATCCTAAGGAATTCCTGCTCATGTGACACTACGAAATTTCTGCTGGACACATGTTTGAGCAAACCAGCACAGCCAAACATGGAAGGCAGTAAAATAATACCTTTAAAATTGAATTTCAAATCAGAGCCAATAGGCAATACTTCAGAAGAATGTAAACAACGTAAATAAATGTATGAAGCAAGGGAGATAATCTGATCTTTTGAAAGTACCCAGCAAAAAACTAAGGAGTTGTAAATAGATGCAGTAACACAAGCATGATATGGTTGTCCAGTATTAGAATTAGACCATACTGGATTGTTCCTATTCCTTCTTTCCAGAATATTTCTGAAGAGAATCTCTCCAAAGCTCTTGTAATAATAATCCTTCTCACTGCTACTGAGTCCTGAGACACACAAATCTTATATGTCAAACAGGAATTCATAGTCAGAAGAAGAGAAGCCAACAATTCCAAGACCCAGTCCTACTGTCCTATTTGCTGGACAGCATTTCCTCCTTCCAGATTCCTAGTCAAAATATTTATAGGACTTTTATTCACATAGCTAGGAACACTTCAGATATTTCTAAATATATCCACGAGCCCAAATGGGAATCATGCACTCAGTCTACTTTGCCAAACAATGCTTTGCCAAAAATTTTTTGACCTACGAAAGAGGAGGAGGGAGTTGAATGAGCAAACCAGAACCTATAAAAGTGCTCGTAGGACAAGTCTGTTCTGTCTCTGTGGAAAGATTAAAGGTAAGAGTATGGAGGACTGGGTGCTGGCAGAATCTCACTGCATTCCTAGTGCTTGTAGAACTGCTTTCCTTAAAGAACTGTCTATATCAATAGACATTTTGATTCTGAATTCAAGTCACCAGCATATTTTTCCCCTATGACTTATCCTTTGGAGTCTGTGCAAAGATAAGAGGCAAGTTGCATTTCTCTTTTTCAGTATTGACCATCTTCCAGCCTGAGAGTCAGCTGGTGTCACAAGAGGTAAGACTGATTTACCTACTGCATAGGAATAGACTCCAAGTTGGCTTTTTTTATGCACCTGTAAAGCCACTTTCCATACCCCTTTACATCTATGCACACTAATGCAGTGCAATTCTACCTAACCTGTGCTGTCTAAAAGAGTAAATTTCCTTTCATAACCGGGTTGGACACATTTGTTTGGTACCTGCTGGGAAATAATTGACCTTACACACAGAACTCTTAAAAGCAGATTGCCTGCAAACAAAATCCAGGAAAGAGAAGGTGAAAGACCAGCACATTTTAAGTTAAGATTTTGTCAAATCCTTCTGAATGTTTTTTATTAATGTTTTTTTTTATTTTCCTCTTTTGGTACAAGTTAATCTTAAAAGATTACCTTGAACTGAAAAAGGTAGAACAATTAGAGGAGACAAAGTCTGATTTACAACTGAGGAAAAATGTTTGCATGGACAACTCATACCTATGCTTCTGCTTACTCCACATCTTTTTCCTTATGTTGCTCCATCTCTATAGTTGATAAAAATTACATGGTCGAAAATGGGCAAGAGAGAAACAATACAAGTGGGTTTTCGTAATTTCAATAAGATGACTTCTCTTGGTATTACTTCTGCTTCTGCTTGGTATCTCTGCTGCATCTTTGAATAGTCTTGACTGTGCCATCAATCCAACTTTTCTGTATAGCTTACTGAAACACTACGAGATCTGAACTGAACACGTAAACTGCAATAAGAGAGAAAAAATTTAACCTTAATCAAAGAAATCATTCTTCTTTAAGACCTAAGTAAATTAAAAGACATCTAGGGTGAAAAGCAGGTAGGACAGAGAGGCAGACTGTAAGAACAGGCAGAGCAGAAAACTACCAAGACTCAGGTCTCGGGTACAAAGGACTTTCTTCCTTCCCTCAGCACTCTGCCTCCACTCCAGCGCAGTGCCTTGCTGCATGTCATAAACCACAGCCATGTCGACAGACGCCGAGATGGCCATCTTTGGAGCAGCAGCTCCTTACCTCCGGAAGTCAGAGAAGGAGAGAATTGAGGCCCAGAACAAGCCTTTCGATGCCAAGACATCTGTCTTTGTGGTACATGCCAAGGAATCCTATGTGAAAAGCACAATCCAGAGCAGGGAGTCAGGGAAGGTCACTGTCAAGACTGAAAAGGGAGAGGTGGGTAACATGTAAGATTTACAAACAGCATTTCATTCCCACTCTGGCTCTGAGTTGACATGCTTGTCCC